GCCTTTAAAGGAGGTGGATTTTAAGTTGTGCCTTTAAAGGAGGTGCATTGTAAATTGTGCCTTTAAAAGAGGTGGATTTTAAGTTGTGCCTTTAAAGGAGGTGGATTTTAAGTTGTGCCTTTAAAGGAGGTGCATTGTAAATTGTGCCTTTAAAAGAGGTGGATTTTAAGTTGTGTGTTTAAAAGAATTGGTTTGCAGTTATTTCACGGTTAGGATAAGCAGCCAGGGTGGAACTGCAGCTCCAGCCCAGCTGTTGGTTAACAAACGCTTTGCTGCCACTTTTCTTATCTTTTTTGGCTCCTTGAAGCTCCAGTGAGGCTGGAGTTACTCCAAACATGGGGAATAATTACAGTAAAGGCTTTTCTTCAGTGCCAGCACCCACCAGAAAGCACGAGGGCCAAGGAAATGTGTTAATATTTTCAAAAGCAGGAAGAAAACTACAGAAATTGAAAAGTTGGCGGTTAAGTGCCAGTGAAAAAGGAGGAAAAGGTCTCTGCTGAGCAGAACAGCACCAAGAAAAACCATCAAAGACAGAGAGAGAGGGGTAAAGCTGCAGGAGCTCAAGGGCAGCACTCACATTGTATTTTATGTAGGGAAATGTCACAGGAGGTTCTGGCCTGAGTCCCAAACTCCCATTGAGTGACAGAGGGCAGAAGAGAGAGCTGTGCCGGGACAGGTGGGCAATGCCCAGGGCTGTGTTCATCAGTCTGCAGAAACTCTTCTGAGGGTCCTGGGGGGAAAAATCCAACCCTTGGAACCAACACGAACCTGTCAAAGCCAGGCTGGGCTCTGCTCTGGGCTCCCTCAGGGGTTACTCACCCCCACAGCACCCAGGACCGGAGTCAGGCCCCACGTCAGGATCCCCTTGCGCGCGTACTCATCGCGGAGCAGCTCCGTCACCCGGGCACCCACTCCAGAGAATCCATTGTGGAGGTCACAGAGGACCTGAAACCCCTGTGGGAAACAGCAGCAGCACCTCAGGTTCTGCTTCTCCTTGAGCAGAAAGTTTCCTGGGAGCAAAGGGAGCTGGGACGAGGTGAGGACCTGGAGGTAATCACACTCCTCCACAAAGAAGTGCAGCCGATCTTCCAGCTCCTCCACACAGGCTGGGTCCTGCAGGAGGCTTTCACCTTGCCCAAAGCCTTCGAGACAGCCACAATCCCTGAGGGAAAACGGGGTAAAGAGGGGTTATTTTATCCCTTTTGTTCACCCTTAAAGGCAAAACTCAGCCCTGTTTGGGCTCAGGAGCGAAGCCGTGGCCGTACCCATCGTGCAGGTACTGCCGGATCACGTAGAGACTCTGGGGGTGCAGGTTCACACTGAGGTAATCGGACCAGAGCCTGGGGGAGGGAGCGTCCTGGGACCCTGCAGGAGAGGAACCTGCAGGGCACAGAGGGGACAGCAAAGGTCCTGGCAGCTCTGAGCGTCCCCATGAACGAAAAATCAATTTTTTAACATGTTCTGACCATCCCCTTTGAGCTCTGAGCATCCTCTTTCTCCTCTGAGCATCCCCATGAATGTAAAATCAGTTTTCTAACACGTTCCAAGCATCCCCTTTCAGCTCTGACCATCCCCTTTCCATTCCTGAGAATCCCCTTTCAGCTCTGAGCATCCCCGTGAATGTAAAATCAATTTTTTAACATGTTCTGACCATCCCCTTTGAGTTCTGAGCCTCCCTTTTGAGTTCTGAGCATTCTCTTTGAGCCCTGAGCATCCCCTTTCTCCTCTAAGCATCCCCATGAATGTAAAAATCAGTTTTCTACCATGTTCTGAGCATCCCCTTTCTGCTCTGGGCATCCCCATGAATGTAAAATCAGTTTTCTAACATACTCTAAGCATCTCTTTTCAGTTCCTGAGCATCCCCTTTCTCCTCTAAGCATCCCCATAAATGTAAAATCAGTTTTCTACCATGTTCTAAGCATCCCCTTTCAGCTCTGACCATCCCCTTTCCATTCCTGAGCATCCCCATGAATATTAGATCAGTTTTCTAACATGTTCTGAGCATCCCCTTTCTGCTCTGAGCATCCCCATGAATGTAAAATCAGTTTTCTAACATGTTCCAAGCGTCCCCTTTCAGCTCTGACCATCCCCTTTCCATTCCTGAGAATCCCCTTTCAGCTCTGAGCATCCCCGTGAATGTAAAATCAATTTTCTAACATGCTCTGAGCATCCTCTTTGAGCTCTGAGCATTCTCTTTGAGCCCTGAGCATCCCCAAAATGCAAAACCAATTTTTTAACTCATCCAGGGACGGTTTTTTTAGCCCATTTGCTGGGCTGAAAAACCTGGATAAGTTAAAAATCTGGCTCAGCCCATCTGGCCCAGCTCTCCATAAGCCGAGCGCTGTTATCCCGCAGTTTTCCTTCTCCCACAGCCGGAACCAGCGAATTCTGATTTCTGCCTTTCTGGAGCCGATGAAAGCCAGAGAACGACCCCAGCCCGCACAAACCTGGCCCCGCAGCGCCCG